TCAAACCGACTCCATCCATGGAAAGAGATGCTGGAGAAGCTTGATGCCATCAGTCAGAACAAGGCCAGGGCCCAACTGCAGAACAGATCATCAGTTGCTCATATGCAAGTTCAAGTTGAAGGAGAAAAAAATGAAAACAACAGCCAAAATATGACCTTACTTTAATTTATAGACCATCTCAAGAGTACATTTAATGCCTCGAACACCAATGACCAAAGACCAGATGAGCTGTGTGGGAAGACATCAAGGACATTATACATGAAGAAAGTGAAAGGTCATTGAAAAAGCAGAAAAGAAAGAAAAGACCAAAGTGGGTAGCAGAAAAGACTCTGACACTTGTCTGTGAACAGAGGGTAGCTAAAGTGAGTGGAAGAAATGATGAAATAAAAGACCTGAACAGAAGATTTCAAAGGAGGACTTGAGAAGATAGAGTATTATAATAAACATACAAAGACCTGGAATTAGAAGAACAAAAGGGAAGAACACACTTGCGATTTCTCAAGCTGAAAGAACTAAAGAAAAATTAAAGCCTTGAATTGCAGTATTGAAGGATTCTGTGGGCAAAATAGTGAACGATGCAGGAAGCATCAAAAAAAGATGGAAGGAATATACAGAATCACTACACCGAAAAGAATTGGTCGACATCCAGCCATTTCTGAAAGAAGCATATGAACCAACGATATTGAAGGAAGAAGTCCAAGATAACCAGAAGGCAGTAGCAAAAAATAAGGCTCTAGGCATTGATGGGATACCAATTGAGATGTTTCAACAAACAGATGCAATGCTGGAATCACTCATTTGTGTATGCCCAGAAATTTGGAAAACAGCTATCTAGTCAACTGACTGGAAGAGATCAATATTTGTGCCCATTCCAAAGGAAGGTGATCCAACTGAATGCAGAAATTATTGAACAACATTAATGTCACACACAAGTACTATTTTGCTGAAGATAATTTCTTAAAAAATAAAATGGTTGCAGCAGTATATTGACAGAGAACTTCCAGAGGTTCAAGCCGGATTCAGAAGAGGACGTGGAACAAGGGATATCATAGCTGTTGTCAGATGGATCTTGGCTCAAGGCAAAGAATCCCAGAAAGAGGTTTATCTGTGTTGTATTGACTATGCAGAGGCATTCAACTGTGTGGATCATAACAAATTATGGATAACATTGTGCAGAATGGGGATTCCAGCACACTTGATTGTTCTCATGAGGAACTTGTGCAAAGACCAAGAGGCAGTCATTCAAACAGAACAAGGAGATACTGCTTGGTTCAAAATCAGGAAAGATGTGTGTTGGGATTGTATTCTTTCACCATATTTATCCAATCTGTATGCAGAGCAAATGATCTGAGAAGCTGGACTATATGAAGAAGAACTCAGTGTCAGGATTGGAGGAAGACTCATTAACAACCTGTGACATGCAGATGACATAACCTTGTGCTGAAAGTGAAGAGGGCTTGAAGCATTTACTGATGATGATGAAGACCACAGTCTATAGCCTTTGGAAAACAATTCAACATGAAGAAAACAACTGGAACAATAAGTAACATCATGATAAATGCAGAAATGATTGAGGTTGTCAAGGTTTAATTTTACTTGGATCCACAGTCATTGCCCATGGAAGCAGCAGTCAAGAAATCAGCTGTCGTATTGCACTGGGCAGATATTCTGCACAAGACCTCTTTTAAGTGTTAAAGAGCAAAGATGTCACTTTGAGGACTAAGGTGCACCTGACCTAAGCCATGGTATTTTTCAGTCACCTCATATACATATGAAAGCTGGACAGTGAATAAGAAAGACCAAAGAATTGATGCCTTTGAATTATAGTGTTGGCGAAAAAATGTCGAATGTACTGTGAACTTCCAGAAGAATAGACAAATCTGTCTTGGAAGAAGTACAGATAGAAGCTCCTAGAAGGGAGGATGACGAGACTTTTGCCTCACAATCTTCAGACATATTATCAGAAGGGACCAGTCCCTGGAGAAGGATGTCATGCTTGGTAGAGAGTTAGCAAAAAAAATAAAATAAAAAAGATCTTTAACAAGTTGGATTGACACAGGGACTGCAACAGTGGACTCCAACATGGCCATGGTAGTTAGCATGGCACAGGACCAGGCCGTGTTTTGTTCTGTTGTCCATGGGGTCACTGTGAGTTAGAACCAACTCAACGATACTGGAGAACAACGAGCAGCAACATCTCATTTTTATTATCGCCTTGATCCTTACTTGGCTTCACCTTACACAGTTATCTCCCTGCCTAGGAGGAGCTCTGGTGGCATAGTGCCTAAGGCATTTGACTGCGAACCAGGAGGCTGGTGGTTCAAACCCATCAGCCACTCCTTGGAAGGAAGACTGGGCAATCTACTTCCATAGAGATGTTGTTGTTGTTATTTGCCCTCGAGTGGGCCCCAACTCATAGCGACCCCTCCTTGGGTTTCCGAGGCAGTATCACTACAGAAGTAGGATTGTCCAACCTTCCTTCCGAGGAGTGGCTGGTGGGTTTGAACCACCAGCCTTCTGGTTAGCAGTCAAGTGCCTTAGGCACTATGCTACCAGAGCTCCCTCCGTAGAGATACTGCCTCAGAAACCCAAGGAGGGGTCACTATGAGTCGGGTTCAACTCCATGGCAGTGAGTTTTTTGAGAGGAAGCCAGGGGCCCCTTTTGGTTGTTTATGTCTGAATTCCTAGCACCTGGCACACAGTTGTTGTGAGGTGATGTCCAGTTGGCCCTCCACTTATGGTGACCCCGTGCATAGCTGACAGTTGTGGTCCACGGGGTTTCCAGTGGCTGTTTTTTTGGAGGTAAACCACCAGACCTTCATTTCTAGTCCATCTTAGTCTGGAAACTTCTCTCCAATCTGTTCAGCATCACAGAAGCACACAGGCCTCCAGTGACAGATGGGTGGTGACTGCACGTGAGGTTCATGGCCAGGAATCACACCCAGGTCTCCTGCATGGAAGGTGAAAATTCTCCCCCTGAACCACCATGTCTCCCTTGACACACATTGGATGCTCAGTAAATGTTACTGAGAAAGATGCTATGCTGCGAAGTGATGTAGTAAGTCCTGGGAGTGACTTGGGTGTCATCGCAGGTTTGGCCTTTGAAGAACTTACATTCTAGCTGTGGAGATAGATGTGTCTTCTGAAAGCAAAGAGTGTGTCAACATATTTTCCAGCCAGGCATGAGAACATGGCTCAAGACTCAAGCCGGGTAGCTCCTTGTCTCCCAGAATGCAAATGACATTGCTCAGAGTTTTACAGGGTGCCCTGCTGGGTCTTTTGAGTATGTTCAATGAATTCAACAAATACCAGTTGAATTCCTACAATTTGCCAGGCCCCGTGCCAGCTGCCGCAGACAGAGCAAGACACAGTACAGACGTGTCTTTGTCCCTGTGAGGTTAGTCATCTAGAGGGGAATCGGAAGTTCAGTGTCATACTGTTATTTAATGAGTAGCCAGCCAATCCTGTTCTGGGCATTTGTCCACTCTTGGCATCACTCAGTATTTACCTTGTTTTTTGGTCATCTTTTAAGTTAATGCCTGGAAAAAAAGGCACTTCAGAAAAGCCAGGCACAGGGATCAGGGCTGCCCCTCCCGCCCCATTTCCAGACAAAAGCATGTAGGGAAGGCGTCACTATCTTAATCTGGTAGCTCAGAAACATTTAGGGGTTCATGGGGAGATAAATAATCTGTGTAAATGACATAACTTGCTGAAGAGCAGATGAAAATTTTCAATGCTTTCTTTGCCTGCTGTACAGCAGTTGGGATCCTCACTGTGAGCGACACCCCACACAACAGCCATGATGGTCCATGTAAGGCCCATGCCCTGCAACAGCTGTGATTGTCACTGTGAACAACACACCCCATACGACAGTCATGGTCATTCATATGAGTGACGTGCCATGCCAGATAGCTGTGACTATCTGTGTGAGCAGCCCACCCCATATAGCAGCTGTGATGGTCTGTGTGAGTCACACCCCTTGCCGAACAGCTGTGATGGTCCATGTGAGTGACTCTCCCTGTACAACAGCCGTGGTGACCTGTATGAGCGACCAACCCTGTATAGCAGCTGTGATGGTCCGTGTGAGTGACCCACCCTGCAGAACAGCCACGGTGGCCCGTGTGAGCAACCCACTCTGTATGGTGTGAGTGACCCTCCCTGTACAGCAGCCACGGTGGTCCGTGTGAGTGACCCACCTTACAGATCAGGCATGATCATCACTGACATACTCCTGGGATCCAGGAACAGCTGGACTCAGGTTTATGCAAACTGGCTTACAGAGCTGGGGTCGGGTGCAAATCAGTGCCGGAAGCCTTTTTAAACTCTCCCCGGTCAATGCAATAGTCAGCTCACGATGTCCAGGTCATCTCAATGACCAGAGCCCCTCCACATAGAGATGCTGACAGTCACACCTGTCTTTTTCACTTGTTTTCGCCCCCCTCCCCTTCCCCAAGCACACATTCTTCTTTGTCACCCTGTGAGTTCATGCAGATGTGGTGCTCATAGATTCTTGGTCTCATGCTCCCATAAGCCCATGACGTCACCACTCTTCTCCCCAGATCCCAGCACTCACTGTGAGCTACTGGTCTGTAGATACCCAGCTAAGTAGGAGTAGACATGGCCAGAATTCTCACAACTGGAGTCACAGTGAAGCAGGTGGGATGGTCTGCAGACATTCCCAGGGTGGGGGCTTGGACTATGGCATGTGCACTCATGGGCTGGGAGGGGAGAGCTGTGTGTGGTGGGCAGAGATGAGATCCTGTCTCATTCCATGGAGAGCAGTCTGTTTTCACAGAGTAGCTAGGCCGGCCAGCCAGTCATTTGGAGGTGTCAGCCCCAGCGGCTAGCTGTGAGGAGAGCTCAATCTGCGGTGCCGTGCACCTTGTTGAACTCGGCAGTGATTCTCTGGTTGGCAGAGAGGAGTGTGATGGTTGACCATGGTCTTGACGTTCTGCTGAGCCTCAGGTTTTCAATTGCTCTTTAATGTGTTTGTTTTTCAGGACCAATGGCTCCTTCTATGAGATCTTGCAAGTGGACTTTGGAGTTGACAACAGTAGTGGCCTGGCTGGGGCCCAGCAGATCACCTGGCAGGTGGAGTACCCGGTGGAGGACTCCATGAGTGAGCTGGTCGTGTCTGAGATCTTCGTCAGCCAGACCACCTTTGTGGGCATCGTCCCTCTTGCGATGGTAAGAAGTTGGGGCTTCACAAAGAGTGTCGCCAAGCAGTTGTCTTACACACTCTTAAGATGTGAAGAAACATGGAACATGTTATAATCTGTTGTTTCACACGTATCTGACACATGTTGTTGAAACAAGGCAAATGCACTTACGTCCATTTCCTGTACGTGCTGTGCATGATGGCTCCTTGGGTTACCTAGGTCTACTGTGTGAATCCTTTTCATTCGTGGATATTGCTGAACTGTTTCCTGGGGAGCCCTTGTTCTCTGTTGCCTTAATCTACATGCACATCAGGGCCCAGAGCTGCACTGAGTGAAGATGGTGTCATGAGAGGTATCTGGGGTAAGAGTTGGGTGAGGAGGCCGTT